CCCAAAGCTGCAGTATACTGAGATTATCTCCTCTAGCCGATAATATCAAGATGCCACCTTGAAAAATTGAAAAGGTGAGATTGAACCCAACATATGTGATCGGAGAGCCAATGTTCTCGCACGAGGAAAGAAACCAAAAGAAGCTCAATCAACCAAGATTCGCTGAACATTTTGTCAGTTTTCAAAATTAGACATATCAGCATTCAAAATCAGGCTTTTATTTTACTCTTGGGGTCGACTGCTGCCCCGAGGTGGCAAATCTACCTTTATCTCTACAAGGTAGATATTTTCAAAGCTTATTTTATTTAAAGGGGCAATATACCAACTAGTTAATATATAAAATCTGAAAGAAACTTCTATATTGCAGTGAAATATCTGCTTTCATATGAACAGTCTAGAAGTAAGCAAGATGTTGGTTGTTCGCTAATCCCACGAATACCAGGATCAGAAAACGTAAGCATCGAGAAAGCATTAAGAAAAATAGAAAAAAACGTAAGGAAACTGATGCTGACAATTAGAAAGAAACAGCTGGAATTTCTAGGACGTAAACGAGGGAAAAGGCTAGGAGAATTTAGCACACACAGGTATATCGAAACAAAGGGAGTAGTATTTGAACTGCTATATTATATTTAATGTAATATGCATTAATGAATACAGTCTAGAAGTAAGCAAGATGTTGGTTTTCCGCTAATCCCACGAATACCAGGATCGGAAAATGTAAGGATCGAGAAAGCATTAAGGAAAATAGAAAAAAATGTAAGGAAACTGATGCTGACAATTAGAAAGAAACAGATGGAATTTCTAGGACGTAAACGAGGAAAAAGGCTAGGAGAATTTAGCACACACAGGTATATCGAAACAAAGGGAGTACTATTTGAACTGCTATATTATATTTAATGTAATATGCATTAATGAATACAGGATGATCTCATCACAGATGAAGATCATCGATGTGTTGGAGAGCGAATTCGAAGAATGCGGAGAATACTATGAACAAGGTAAGGAGGAAGTTTTATGAAAACAGGAACTAGACAGAAACATACTTACAATGAAGGTATCAGTCCTCCTATATGGATGCAGAACAGTCCCCTAATATATGAAGAAACTTGAAGCAAAAGAAATGTGGTTTTAATGAAGTATGTTGGAATACGATAGACCGAACCTGAGAGCAACGACGAAGTTTATGACGATAAACTACATCTCGCAGCAAGGCCTCTGATCGGGAGATTGGAGGTTTTGACAAACCTTGAACGACCTCCTTATTTTTGTTACTCCCATGTCCACATTGAAACGGGGTGGTAGCGTCTGCTAGGCTCCCAGCTATGGGCAAATAGTAAACCCCGTAACAAAACACTATGAAAGTATAAAAATTTTGTAATGGAATATCCGCCACTCCCTATCGCCTATGTGGACTGACTATATCAGTAGCTACATATATATATATATATATATATATATATATATATATATATATATATATATATATATATATATATATATATATATAGGGCCTGTCCTATGGTTACAGAGAATCTCAGTCGAGTTCCGCCACGGAATATGTGAGCGAGCGGCGCTTTCTTGAGTGTGGTTTGCAATCTCTTCGTCACCGAGGCCCACTTGGAACAGTTGGTATGATGTTCGCTTGACAACCCAACTGTCAGGGTTTCAATTCTCGGTAGTGGATGCACACTGCTGATGAATCCCAAATATAGGACGAAACGGCCGTCCAGTGCTTTCTGCATTCTGTGGAGATTTCTATCAGACTCGATCAATTAATTAAATATATATATATATATATATATATATATATATATTGAGCACGGGATTTACCTGGGGGATCGCTGCGGCAATTAGTTGGAGATCCGTCTTCAGCTAAGATAGTCGAACTCTCTGCCTTTGGGCGGAGAGGAGTCCAAACGAGGCTGTGCCGGGGGCAGAGACTCGTCTGGGGTGGTAGACAGTATACGAGGTCTACGGATAATTTTTGCACAAGCCTACGGGCTCGCATACACCACGTTAAATTCGGCCTTGTGCCACATCTGAGCGCGTGGGGCGGTTGGCAAATATCGTTGATTCGGCAGTTAGTTGGAGATTCGTCTCCAGCTAAGCTAGTCGAACTCTCTGCCTTTGGGCAGACAGGAATCCAGACGAGACTATGACGAAGAGCAGAGTCTCGTCTGGGGTGGTAGACAGCTACCCGACCCCGTGTATACGGGGTCTATGGGGAATTTTTGCCCGAGCCTACGGGATCGGATTTTCCCGCATTAAAAACGGCCTTTTGCCGCATCCTGCCTCGCGGCGAGGTAAGGCAAATAATCTTGCTTCGACAATTAGTTGGAGATTCGTCTCCAGCTGAGGAACCCAGATGAATGCCGAAGGGCTGAGTCTTGTCTGGAGTGGTAGACAGCTACCCGACCCCGTGTATACGGGGTCTACAGGAATTTTTGTCTGAGCCCACTGGATCGGTTTCGAGCAGAGTCTCGCCTGGGCTGGTAGACAGCTACCCAAACCCGTTTTTTACGGGAAATGTTTGCCCGAACCTGCTGGCTCGGGTTTTCTCCGCATTAAAAAACGGCCTTGTGCCACATCCTGCACCGCGGGGGAGGTAAATTAAATAACTATTATTTGGCAATTCGTTGTATCTACGTCTCCCTTTGTGGTGGCCGAACTCTCTGCCTTCGCGCAGAGAGGAAGCCAGACGACAGCTACCCGACCCCGTGTATACGAGGTCTACGGAGAATTTTGCCCGAACCTACGGGTTTGGTTTTAACCCTGCATCAAAAACGTCCTTGTGTCGTGTGCCACGTCCTGCTACGCGTTGGGGGTGGGTAAGCTAAATATCTTTGCTTCGGTAATTAGATGGAGAGTCGGCTCCAGGTGTGGGCAAAGAGGAACCCAGATGAGGTTATGACGAAGAGCAAAGTCTCGTCTAGGGTGGTAGACAGCTACCCGACCCCGAATTTTTACCCGTGCCTACGGACTCGGTTTTGACCCGCATTAAAAAACGGCCTTGTGCCACATCCTGCCTCGCGGGGACTTAAGGTAAATATCCTTGCTTCGGGAATTACTAGCCTGCCACCCGATTTCCTGTCTTTCAGTAGTGTATTCTCTTTTACAATAAACCTTTCTTTCATCTACGCGCGTGCTGCTGTTCCTTCACTCGGGTACCACTTTTGTCTGTTTGTAACCTCTTTAAAGATTAAAAAAATATACATTTTAATAGTAAAAACGCCATCAATACATTTTATATAATAAAAAACAATAATACATGTAGTTTAATGATCAGCAATACATTTTATCTGTAGTCAATTGCGTTGTAAATATATTTAGTTGAAGGCATAAAATTGTGTTCAGATTATGTAGATTTCGGCATTAAATAACCCATAGAGGTGTTGATGTGCAGCTAAACAAAATCAGACAATTAACATGGAAAACGAAATTTTAGAGAAAACTGAAACATAAATGACACTAATACTTAATATCAAAAATTTTGATCGTAGAGAATTGTGAAATCAGCGCACTTTCAATATATTTTCTTTTTAAATGCTGTCCTTGTTTAATCAATCATTTTTTTTAATCATTTCACCTCAAGCAAGGCGGAAATGCCACTAGTACGCAGGGGGGGATACAGGAAGCGAAAGCGAAAGAAAAGACTGGGTACAGGGAGGATTGAAGAAAGGACAAAAGATGAATGGGATTCAAGAAGATAGAAGATGGCAATTCATGCTGCATTTAAGTTTTTGAAGGCTGTGTCAATCAGAGAAGCAATTAATTGGAAGGGAGTTCCACAGACGAGAAGTTGGAGTAAAAGTAGCACTTGGATTTAGCGATTTCAACAGTAAAAGGGTGCGGACTAGATGCCAATCTAGTAGCACGCTTAAATTTATGTAGTCGGTGGGTACCAGGGCGAAAAGCGCGTCAGAGTTGTTGTCCTAAATGCTATTGTATTGTTGCGATTATCGTATAGTCTTTTCAAGATTCTCTGGATGTTCCAATCGACATTTTGTGCAATTTATTTTGTATATTTCTGAATTGGTTAAGGTTCAGTAATTCTGCGATTAAAAAACAAAACAAAAATCGAACGAAGTCATTGATTTTTTTTTTATTCGTTTCATCCTTGTGAGTTAAGAGCATTCTACGAATATTTCATTAGGAACACCTCAAAATTAAATGTAAACGTCGTGAATTCTTATTCAATTCTTTAAGGGAGAAAATGAATGGTTGATTTTACTTCTCTGGTGATTAAAGACAAGCAGCAAATAATTTAATATCAAAGAAAATATTACGAAGGTAATTTTTTTGTGTCTGATGTTTGTCCATTATACTTGTACAATCATATGTCAGTAGCGTATTTTTTTCTGTGATTTGGTAGCTGTATAGAGTCACGTTGTGCATTAAGTAGGGATAAAACTGATAATATGCGATACCAGATAGATAGATAGATAGATAGATAGATAGATAGATAAACAAGGTGAGATAGATAGATAGATAGTGTTGAAACTTGACTAATGCATGGAATAATAATGCAACACAAAATGTACTTAGAACAAAATGTATTGAAACAAGAAAGTGTACACAATATTTAAATATAGTCTTTTGTATATACCTGGTAAGACCGTTCCTGGAGAATGTGTTGACTGAGTCGCAGTCGGGCAGAGTCTCTGGTTGAATCTCTTGATTACTACCTCTCTTCCCGGTACTAACCATATTTATATGGTCGGTACTCCACTATGCAAATTAGGTGGATCCTACCACAACAGATAGATAGATAGATAGATAGATAGATAGATAGATAGATAGATAGATAGATAGATAGATAGATAAACAAGCTGAGATAGATAGATAGATAGATAGATAGATAGATCAAACTGTATTGTACAATCTTTGTTAGAGACAAACGCTGATATAACTTGAGACGTAGAAATAACACCAAATATATTATTGGACATATCACTAGAGATTGACAGATCTATCTGTCAATCTATTGTCATATGTCCAAGCTAAGATAGATAGATAGATAGATAGATAGATAGATAGATAGATAGATAAAGAGCAAAAATATATATTGTACCAGCTTTGTTAGAGACAAACGGTGATACGACTTGTGATAGAGAAATATCCCCAAATCATTACATTATATCATCTATGATAGCAACAAAAGAACATATTACTAGATAGATAGATAGATAGATAATGGACAGACCGGGATATATAGACATACAGACAGATAGATGGAGAGGGAGAGGGAGTCCAAATGTGTCTATCATGTAAGATAGAGACAAATGGAGATATATCTACATATATATAAAGCAGCCAGTAACTTTCCTACAGCCTAAACATAATTTCCCTCTGCCTTTTGTATAAATACTCTCATTGTAATTGTTCGGATGCACTCACCACTCCGGTACCTAGACTTCATGAATTTAAGGGCTGTAATATTGGTAAGAAGGTCTCATCATTTATGCTAACAGTTCCTTCTTTCGCACTTTTCGGTAGTGGCATTCTTTTCCGACTCCATGATTTCAAGACAAATTTGATCTTTAAAATGTTAAATGCAATGTAATTTTTTTTCATCTACTGTCTCTTGATTCATCTTCCTTTATTGTTCTCGCTCTTTAATAATGCTTCTCTTTTTCTTATTCTTTCACACTCAGTAACACTTTGCATCTTAGTGGCTTTACTGCCTTGCTTGGGGAGAAATTATAAAAAACAAGAAAAATAGATAAATAGATAGATAGATAGATAATGAGTAGGCTGAGATAGGTAAATAAATAGATAAGCAGAGAGCAGATAGATAGATAGATAGATATGAACAGAATAGGATAGATGAATATAAAAAGAATGAATTAGATAGATAGATAGATAGATAGATAGATAAATGATTCAAAAGCTTTAGCTTTTTTGTACCAAATTTTTACATTATATCATCTATGATAGCAACAAATGGACATATGACCAGATATCGACAGATAATAAACAAGCTAAGATAGATAGATAGATAGATAGATAGATAGATAGATAATAGATAAGAGTAAAATATATATTGTACCAGCTTTCTTATAGACAAACTGTGATAAGACTTGTGATAGAGAAATATCACAAATCTTTACATTATATCATCTATGATAGCAAGAAATGGGCATATTACTAGAGCTAGCTAGATAGCTAGCTAGCTAGATAGATAGATAGATAATGAGTAGGCTGAGATAGGTAGATAAATCGATAAATAGATAGATAACGAGCAGACTAAAATAGATAGAGAGAGATACTAGAAAGGCGGAGATAGATAGATAGATAGATAGATAGATAGATAGATAGATAATGGGTAAACTGAGATAGATAAATCGATAGATAGATAACGAGCAGGCTGAAATAGATAGATAGATAGATAGATAGATAGATAGATAGATAGCCTAATGATTCAAATTTTTTACCTTTTTTCGTACGACTTTACCTTCCCCGATAGGTCATGTTAGAAATTATTCACCGCGTTTGGTATCATGGACGCTTAGATACGATTTTTGGTGTATTATATGAACTGAGCATAAATCAGCGTTTAAACAAATTGTTTCTCTTTTGGCTGAACGAATAAAATGTTTTTGCGAAAGAAAGTTATTGGTACTGCAAATCGATGAAAGACATCCTTTAGCAATCGAAATGGATAATCTAATCGAGACAGATTTCCTTATTTTGTCAGCTACATTGAAAGATAATTTGGCTTATGATTAATGGGAACGTGCAAAAATTATTATTCTACAAAGTCTCGCTGGGCAACTGACCCTTTTCAATGAAAACATCAACTGCATAAAGACGTTCATCTCTATACGTCACTGAAAAAAAGTTTAGTGTGAAATTCTTCCACATGCAGGGTAGCAGGAAGCTACAAGTGTCAGTCTCTTACAGCTTTCCATCCTTTTAATAGTCTTTTCCTGATTATCTATTCCAACAAGGTGAAAAAAACGAACATTTCTTCGAAACATATGAACGAATTCTTATTATTGTTGTAGAGTAGCTATCACCTTCAGCACTCTACCAGATCGCCTGGCTCATAGACTTAAATAGTCTACGAGTAAGGACTTCAACAGTTGATTAATAAGTTGATACTAAGCTGATTAATATTCGAACTGATCTTACTTCGTTTGTCTATACAGCATTTGACCCTCTTCTATTCCTTGTAAGTTGTCTTGTTAATTGTTTTGTAACTTATTGTTCTGTGATTTTTATATGTATCCATTAGCACCAGATACTGGTGCTGAATAAATATATTAAGCACTCATTCTTCTTTGTGTATCATTCACCTCGACGATACAACAACAACAATTATTATTATTAACATTATTATTATTTTTTTAATTTTTTATTATTATTATTATAATTTAATTGCACGCGACCTACCAAGTCTGCGGGAAGACCATTACCAGTAGACTCATCCAACTCTTTCCGAATCCTCGACACTGTCCTCAGACTGACACCCAACCACCCTGAAATGTTTGTATTAGAGCTTCCGGTGCGAATGCCAAGCGGTACATAAAATTTCTGGTGGAGTGATGTGATGCTCTTTTTCTCACAGACGGTGCACAACTGACCTTAATATTTTGTGCCGTCGACAAAATCAAAAAAAAAAAAAACGTGCATGCGTGAAATCAGAAATATATAATGCCGACAATTTACATATCGCACCCTATATATATATATATATATATATATATATGCGTTTAAACATGAAGCAGACTGGGTGTTGACTGCAATTTACATTTTTATATACATACTCTCTATCTCTGATATTGAGCACTTTAACTCATATATATAGCATACAGTAAAAATTATATTTTTATCATATATATATATATATATGTGTGTGTGTGTGTGTGTGTGTGTGTGTGTGTGTGTGTGTGTGTGTGTGTGTGTGTGTGTGCTGGCATTTGCCCATAGCTGAGACCCTAATTGTTACTACCACTTCGAGTCAGTTAGGGTAGACCTAGCCGAAGTAAGTAAGTGGTGGTTCCATGCTCCTCAAAAACCTCCAATCTCCCAATCAAAGGCCCTGCTGCTAGATGTAGTTTATCGTCATACTCAGGACTATAGAACATTCGAAAATTCTTGGCGCACATTATGTCCAGCAAAGAAAACACTTGTACGAACGACAAAAATTTGAATAAAAAGCTTAATGCCAATACAATATCAGTCATCTTTAATAAAACGTATAAAAGAGGGATTGCTGCCCAAATATGCAATTACACACACACACACACACACACACACATATATATATATATATATATATATATATATATATATATATATATATATATATATATAAAAATAAATTATCTCTCTGATATTTTACTGTGTTTTTTTTTGTTTTTGCAGGTAAGTGCTGATCTCCGTCTGTCATCTTTTCGACATTGTCAAATGAAATTAAAAAGTATGGTAAGAGAATTTTGCTTGTGTAAACAATTTCCTATCTTGTCTATTGACGTCCGTCATTAGTCACCTTTTACTTTCTAAATGTTTTCAGCGAAGCTTTATCAAGCTGCCACATCTAAATGTTCTTTCCTTTACGCCGTACTGTTTTATCACCCTCTTACATCTGATCTTATTTTCTGTGCTTTTTTTCTTCTTCTTCTTTTTAATCATTTATCTCTTTCTGCATGCTCTGAATTGATTCTCCTTTGTTTTTCTTCGCTTATTCTAATTGTATTTCTGCTCCACTTCCTTCTCTTCACTTTTTTTCTTGTTGCTTTCTGTTCTTTTTTATTCGTCTTTCAATTTTCTTTCTTTTTTTTTTTTTTTATTTTCTTCTATTTTTCTCATTACTTTTTTCTTTTTGCCATTTAACTTTTTCTTCTTTTTTCTTTTTAATTCGTTTTTTTCTATATTCTTTTTTCGTTTTCCCGTTTTTCTGTTTCTTTTTTTCTCGTCTTGTAATTTTCTTTTTTTTCTTCTTCAAGTTTTCTTTCTTCCGATTCTGTTTTCTTTTTCATTTTTTTATCTTCTTTTTCTTTTTCTTGTCCCATCTTCCAATTCCTTCTTTCTTTTCTTTCTCTTTATTTTTTATCGATTTTTTTTCTTCTGACGTTGTAAATGTTATACTTACACTGCAAAGACCGTGTTGTACCAAGTCTCTAAGCGGAAACGGTTGTCTCCCTTAGAAACCAATATTGGAACTCTTCGTCTCAAACTCCAACCATTACGACCACGGGGAAAAAAAATTTACTCCTTCAAAATTTCCATTATTAGTAAGGTTTTATTTGGAACTAATTCAATAAAGAGTAAATACATTAACACGATTTATTACGCCAATCTTCCATATAGGAAGAGTACCTGTTTGAAAAACTATCATTCGAAATCGGGGATTTTTTACCTGGTTTCACATTCCAACTACAATGAAATTAGAAAATTTATCTCGTGATTTATTAAGCTATATTGAGATTTATTAAGATATTAAGCCAGCTTAAAACGTCAAGGCTTACATTATCACTGTGATACAGCTGTTCTCGGACAATCCCCAAAGTTAAGCAACGTTGAGCCAGACCAATACTTAGATGGGCAATACTAGGTGCTGTTAGACCATTCAGCATACATTGAGCCAGAGTAGTAGAGTAATTGTCTATTCCTCGCCGTGCAGGGCAAAAATGGAACGATATAGGGAAGATGTAAATCCAACAAAGAACAAAAATAATGCCAAATGACTAGGGCTTGCCTATCATTTCTTTTAATCATTTCACACAAGCAAGGCAATAAAACCACTAAGACGTGGGTTAGTTTTAAGGAGAGATAAAATAAAAGAACAGGAATTAAGCAGATAGAACATAACGATTGACATTGGATTTATATTTTTGAAGATCGAAGTTGACTGGCAGAGCTCCACAATCGAGGAGTACAAAAGAAGAAACTGTTAGCATAGAACTTACGGTTACATCTGACCATTTCAACTGTAAAATGATGAAACCTTGCCGCCAATTTAGTACAGCGCTTAATTTCATAAAGTCTAGCTACCATAGAGGAAAGTTCATCCGAACAATTACTATATATATATATATATATATATATATATATATTACTATAAAGGTAATTTACGTTAACCAGAAAGAAGGCTAAAACACAAGCGTCTATCTTTTTAATTTTGAATTTTAATGTAACTATAACAACAAAAACATTTCGATTTCATTTTTGCCTTGAAAAAGTCGGAAGACGAAACGCGTCGGAAAAATGTAAGATTTTTTTCCAATTGTCATTTGATACCAATCTGTCTTGTCCACAGAATTCATCTGGGAATTTAACTATATATATATATATATATATATATATATAAACTTTACAGAGATACTCCGTTACGGCGGTGTGAAAAAATAACTAAAGTCGAGATGCCAGATCAGGACTAATATCAATGCAGATTCTTCCTTAGCTTTTATCAAGAATCTTGAAATATATAGCAAGAACACGAGGTGATATTTAACAGCAATATTCTAAATATGGACGAATGGTAGACTTATAAATATGCATGATATTTTCTTGCGAGAAGAATTGTCTGACACTACACAGTGAACAAACTTTCGTCGCAGCAGACATAGCAATTAATTTAATATAATCTTCCCACTTCAGGTCAGTGGAGGACTTTAGTCCGAGAAGGTGCCATGAGCAACTCTCCTGGAGGTTAGCATCAGCCATACAAAAAGAGTTCTCTCAGACGTTTAAAAGTGAGCAATTTCGTTTTGGAGGCGTGAAAATTCACACGCCATTCATACGTGTCTCCTATGAAGGGCGGGTATGCATGGCTTAGAACAAAGAATCATTTGAAAAGCGTGTTTTTTTCTGGGCTTTAAACAGCTATTTGGCGGACATGAAAATGAAAATAAACTTGCTTATACTCATACTTTTACATTTTCAAATTTTAATATAGCGAAACTTTAGGAAATGACGGTTTGGACAATAAGGCTACTGCAATATCGAGGAAGTTGCTTGACATTGCTTGACATTGCAAAAGTTCTAAGACATATGTTTCGTAATACATGAATAATAATAATAATAATAATAACAATGAAAACAAAATTCTTCCCATGGAACAGAGGAGATGTCAAAGAGCTTCATACGGTTGCAAGGATCAACTACTAATAAATAAAAATCCTGTGAAATTGCAGGAAAAATGTAAAAATCTCAGCACAGCTTAAATAGATTATCGCAAAGCCTTTGAGAGTATGCCGCACTCTCGGATCGTTAAATGTAGACAGTCTCGTCGGTGATCGTAAATTTCCTTAAATATAAAAATGAAACGGTGGAAAACTACCTAAATCACCTCAAAGGTACTGTCACTTCCAATTGTTTGATTATCCGACAAGAAATCTTTCAAGGAAACTCCTTGTCGACTCTTCTGTTCTGACTGTACTTAATCACTCTTTTGCATGAACTAAACAGTAATAACTAGTAAAAAAAAAGAAAGTGTTTAATCCTCTATTCTACGTGGATGATAT